CGAGCCTGGGCCAGGATGGCAGCTTGCGCCACCGCCTTGGGTGCACTCGGCGGGCCCGGCGCCGCTTCCTGAGGAGGCGCAGCAGCGCCGATCGTGGCAGACTGCGTGGGCAAGGCGGCAGCGAGCGCGCCAGGCGCGGTCGGGAGACTGCGAGCCGGCGTCGCACCTGGAGTATGCTCGCCCTCGGACGCCGCAAGCGCGTCAATCCGAGCCCTCAACTCGCTCACGCGAGCATGGTGCTGCGCTACCTGTTGCTGGACTTGTTCGCGGGTAGGCGGCGGGCCCGTACTAACCAAGACGGGCTGCGATGACGCCTTCAGAACTGGCGACGGTGCTGCGGGCGATGCCGACATCGCCGTGGCCACCGCTGCTGGCTGCGCAGCTGGGGTTGGCCCCGCCGCTGGGACTGGCGCTGGTGGTGGCGGCGGCGGCGGCGGGGGCGGTGGCGGCTGGCTCGCGGCAGGGTGCTCCCATTGGCTGTGGCTCATAGCCCTGTTGATGAAGTACAACGCACCAGCAAGATCCCTTCTCTACTCCCAGCCTGGGGGCAGGCTCGGCGGGCTCAGGACCGGCGGGCCCGGCGAGCTGGGCGCCGGGGACAAGCGCGCTCTCCCGGGCGGGGAGGATGCGGGGCGCGGCACTGGGGACGTTGGCGGTGAGGAGGCAAGCGACTTGGGGGCAGGAGCCGTCCCCAGAGCCTTGGTGGCGACGCCAGGGTACACAGGCCCATCCCAAACGCCCGGGGGAGCCTGCAACGGGCTGAGCTTCAGCTGGGTTGCGTGGTCCACGGCCCTCGGCGATAACATTGGCGGCGTGGGGCTGACACTGCTGCGTGAGGAACTGCGGCGCCGTCGCCGCGAGGGGCTGCGGGGACGGCGCCTAGAAGGGGAGCGGCTGCGGCTGTCATCACGCCGGCGGCGGGGGCGCCCCATCCGGCAACGACAGGTGGCCGAGGTGAGATGCCCACCCAGAGAAAAAGCCAGCGCTCAAGCAAATCCCTGGGCCAAACAGCGCCTGGGATAGAGAGACAGTGTGCAACGTTCCTTCCTGCGCACGCCCGCTGCGCGATAGCACGGCTAGAGGCATGACGCTCCTCCCCGAGCGCGCCGAGCAAGGGCGGCCGGACAGCAGGCCAGCAGAGGCAGGCAGCTCATGTACGCCACTCAAGCGAGCGCATCGCTACTGCGAAGCGCAATCACATAGCATGTTCCCAACACTCGGACCGCAATCGTGAGAAGAAGACCTGACATAATAGCAGATACGGCATTCAAGGGAGATGAAAGTATCACGACTGAGAAGCAAAGCGCGACAGTTGACAAACTGGACACATGTCGTCGGTGCCGGCGCGAGAGGCACAGCGACTCCGCGCTACCCGAACCCCCCGGGCCTCGGGGGGGACACCAACGACGAAAACACCCACCTGTTTCCACCCCGGCGGGGGCCCCCACAGCCAAAACAGGTGGGAGTTTTCGGAGCCAGGCCAGGGCGAGGGGGCACGCCGACCAGGAGCCCCCAGCAGGGACAGCCACGATCAGAGTTCGACAGGAAGAGGAGGGAGGGAGGAGGAGGAGGAGGAGGAGGAGGAGGACGACGACGACAACAACGACGACGAGGAGGCGGCGAGGGCACCAAAGCAGAAACTACCCAGAGGTCTTTTTTTTCAGTAACTATTGAAACTATTGAAACCATTCGGAAACATTGAAACTATTGAAACTAATTGAGAAAAAACAGGTTGAAACTGAAACTGTTGAAACTAATTGAAACTTTTTATGTTTGGCGTATACAGCGCATGCGCATATAGGAAGCAGCGTCGCAATATCTTTCCTCGCGCGCGACGCCATGCTATCGCATCAGCTGCGCGGGCAGAGAAATTGCAACGAGCGCGTCCCGCCCCGCATCCCGAACTCATGGTCATAGCGTCAATGCGGCGCATTAACAGCCCCGCTACCACGTGCCCAACGAACTGCTCCAGAAAACTTTCGCGCTGCTGCGATCCAGCCGCGCCGCGCACGTGCGGTTGAGCGATTTCGTCTGTTTTCGCTTGAGCCAAGTAGCGAAAGAGGAAGACACGAAGGAGGAAGAGCAGCAGCAGCAAAAGGAAGAGGGGGATACGAGGGGGCAAGAGGCGGAAAGAGGAGGAAGAGGAGGAAGAGGAGGAGGAGGAGGGGGGGAGGAGGAGGAGAAGCGAGAAAGAAAAAGAGAAAGAGAACGAGAGAGCAACAAACCAAAAAGAGAGGGAAACAATACATATATACATACATATATATATAGAGAGAGAGAGAGAGAAAGAGAAAGAGAGAGAGAGAGAGAGAGAAAAAGAGAAAGAGAGAGAGAGAGAGAGAAAACACACATAGGAAGAGGAGGAGAATGGCGAGGAGGACGAGGAGGCGAAAATAGAGAGAGAGAGGGAGAGAGAAAGAGAAAGAGAAATATAAGGAGAGGGAGGAGAAGTGACATACATAAATACAAAGAGAGAGAGAGAGAGAGAGGGAAAGAAAGTGAGAGAGAGAGAGAGAGTGAGATAGAGAGAGAGAGAGAGAGAGAGAGAGAGACGGAAAGAGAAAGAGAGAGAGAGAGAGAGGGGGCGCCCCCAGATTTGCCCGCAGATTGCCCGAGATCCACCCGCAGATTGCCCGAGATGCACCCGCAGATTGCCCGAGATTTCACCTGTCTGCCTGCCTGTTGCTCGCCTGTTTTGGGGCCCGTGCCGCCCGTGGAACGAGAGCGTTTTTGTTTTGTGTTTGTTGTTGTTGTTTTTGTTTTGTTTTGTTTGTTTGTTTGTTTTTTTTTTTTTTGGGGGGGGGGGAATGACGTTCTGGATTTGTCCCGGGTGGTTGGGGGGCTTGCGGGGTCGGTAGACCTTCGAAGTAGGACATGGTCTGTGGCTTATACCGTTACTCCTACCCTCTCTCGTTTGCCGTGGTCGCCCTCCCCCTGCTGCCCTAAGCAGCCGATCCCAACTCTACTTTTTTTGCCATGTCAGCAGAAAAGGTTGCAACATCAATATCACCAGAAGCACGCTATCGAGCACTGTCGGGCAAAATGCACACTCGATAAATTAAAAACATGAGATGTTGGTCTCGGAGCGGTCAGATCTTCAAATGCAAGGCGCATCCGATAACCATGCCAACGGCTGGCATTGACATTGCCATGCCCAATGCTTTTACAGGCTCGCCGAGATTCTCGCTGACCTCTGGCCTAAAGCCCTGAGCCATTGCCAGCTCGCGATTGGTCAAAAACCTATCAAACTTGAAACGAGTTGGGATGGAGCGGGAACGTATTGAGAACACGTACATGCAACTGGTTGGCGTGATCTCTGGAACGCAATCTATTTTGAGACGTGGCTGCGCGTCGCGGCCGCAAATGTTTGCAGCAAGATCGCACACTGCCACGGCGTGCCCAGTCGGGATCATACCAGAAATGAGCTTCTTATAGTATTCAAGGTTCTCCCTAAAACTTTCGTTCCGCATCCCGTCCTCGCAGGGAAGAGTCGGGTCCAGAATGTCTTGCAGACGAAAACCTTCAAATCGAAATAGCTCTGGCGAAAAAACTGGCGTCAAACCAGAGAATGCACTAATCAGACGGCCGCAGACGAACCACCTCATCCTCGATTGGGGAAGGCCGAGGTCCCTGGAGTCCACGTGCCATTGCCAGACCTTCCACGATTCACCCACTAATGTTGACATGAAATCTGCGACATCATTGAGCCGCGACGATTCGCGCCCTTCCTCCACGAAGCTGCACTCGTCCAATAGTTCGATCACGAATGCAAAGAGTTGGCTATTGCGCCGACGAGCTTGGTCCCCGACAGCGTTCATTGCTCTCTCGTACACGGGGAGCTGCACATCCTCAGTGCGATATTGGCTGACCACAATGTTGACGCTTGGGATCTGTGAGATGTCAACCTGGGCATCGCCCAGCAAACTCTATTTGGCATGCCTCCTCCTCCTCCCCCTCCTCCTCTTCCTCCTCCCCCTTATCCAGTCCTCCAACGTCTCCCGCCTCCTGCCTCCTCTCCTGTCCGCCTCCTCCGTGCTACCTTCGGCTTCCAGTCTAGCGAGCGCCCCCTGATTTTGTCCCACCCCCCGCGCATGCATTCTCCCCCCCCCGTTCTCGTCTCATGCGCCCTCCTTCTGTTTTCGCAGCGTTCTCAAATCCAAGAGCATGTGGTCGATGCTTTCGCATCACTATGTTTCTGCTTTTTTTGAGGGGGGGGGGGGCGAAGTCTTGATCTGGGGTTGTCGGTTGCCAGCCTCCGAGATAGAACGGGGAACGTGCTGCGCGTTCGGGCCGCCGTGGGCTGCAACGAGGTGGTCGGTGAACCTCGGGTCAGGGTTGTAGCAGTGCGACGTAACCGAGAGCCCCATCTGCGAGAGTCGAGTTCTTTTTCGCATCGGCCTCTCCTCCCTCTTTACTCTTATCCCTCATCCTCTTCCTCCCTCCTCCTCCCTCTCTCGTCCCGCCTCCTCCCCCCGTCCATCTTCATCCACCCGTCCCTTAGAAGAAATGAAAAGCGGCGTCCTCCATCAGTGCGAGCGTGCCTTCTGAAAGGCCGCCGAGCGGCTCCAGAATCGAGATCTCTCTAATCTGCGGGACAACGAGCTCGGCCGCGACGTCCTCTCTCGAATAAGCAAGGCGTGGCAACGCAATACTCTGTGCCCCTGGCCCGAGGAATCCCCAGGAGTTCCAGGACGGGCACTCTAGGCCCGAACAGTGACAGCGACCAGGCTGGACCTCCCCTCCTCCTCCTCCTCCTCCTCCTCCCCCTCCTCCTCCTCCTCCTCCTCTTCCTCCCCCTCCTCCTCCTCCTCCTCCTCCTCCTCCTCTCCTCCTCCTCCTCCTCCTCCTCCTCCTCCTCCTCCTCCTCTCCTCCCCTCCTCCTCCTCGTCTCCTCGTCCTCCTCCTCCTCCTCCTCCTCCCTCCCTCCCCCTCCTCCTCTCCCGCCTCCTCCTCCTCTTCCTCCTCCTCCTCCTCCTCCTCCTCCTCCGTCTCCTCCTCCTCCTCCTCGCCCTTCTCCTCTTCCTCCTCCTCTTCCTCCTCCTCCTACTCTCTCTGTTTCGGGGTCCTGCCAATCAGATTCAAAGTGGTGCACGTCGGTGCTGCTGGGGCGCTGCCCACGGCTGCGCGCCGCGGCCATGTTCCAAGACAAAAACAAGTTGGAGAGGGCGCGCGGTCTCGAGTGCACGTGATAGCGGAACCGCGAGCGCATGCCCACGCGGAACGGAACCAGAGGGGCAATGGAGCATTAGGAGGGGAAGGTGAGGGGAATAGGGGAAGGGGAGGGGGGATGGACATGTGAGGGGGAGGTGGCCCACAGTGTAACGGTAAAATGTAAAAATTGGCATCAAAGGCGGTGCGAACGGTGGCCTCCACAGCGGGCGTGACTCGAACAATTGCGTTGAGGATCTCAGATCTATACATATATACGTATACAAACATATATATATGTATATATATATATATGTACGCATATCTATATAAATATATGCATACCTACATACATACATACATACATCCATCCATACATACATACATACAACCATACATACATACATACATACATACATACATACATACATACATACATGCATTCATACATACATACATACATGCATGCATACATACATACATACATATATATATATATATCATTAAACGACTACACATACACATATATACATGTGAGTATATAGATGCCTGGATCCATTCCTCTTTTCTCGTAGATGATGGTGGTTGTTGATGATGGTGTTGATTAGATCGCAGCGAATGCCGAGGACGGCTGCACGTGAGGCAGGATGCGCAGCCTGCAAAAAATGGTACGCTCCCACGTGGAGCGATGCGCGGCAGCAGCCACGCGGGCAAGGACGAGATTAAGCCCCTCGTCCACGAAAGTGGAGTATGACCGAGGGTTGCCACAATAGCCGATTCGAAGTGACAAATGAACAAACAAGTGACACTTCGGGATGTACCTCGCGTCGGTCATCCCCAGGAGCGTGAGGTGTCTCACGCACAAGTCCAACAGACGCTGGCATTTGTCCCTCGGAATGGCGTCTGGCTGTTCCCGCAGCGTGGCCATATACTCTACAAGGCTGGCGCCAGCCGCTGCGAGAACATCTCCTTTCAGCAAGGACTCTCGGTGAGACATGCAAAACGAATGTGCCCACTTGAGCATGACCCCTGTCTCTGCTGCTTTCGTTTTCAATTTGAAACTGTCTAGCTCTCCAATCATAGTCCTGGTGAGAGCCCCGAGCTGGTATGATAATGGAACCTCGTTCGTGCTGCACCACCTCTTGTAGTCGGAGAACAAACGCTTGAGACCTTTGTCAATCTGAACCTCCTTCGACGAGCTTTCTTGCCCCCACAATGATGATCTGAGCGCTGCCCACAACACCGTGTGAACGTATAATGCGACCACGCCCAGGTGCAACGTATGAAGCGTGTCTATGTGCAGGCTAGTTGCGGGAGTGATTCCCAACTCGTCACACCACAACGGGTTTCGACGCAGCACACGATCTGTCACCCTGCCTTTTTTGTCTTTTGATGCCCGCCAGAAGGTTGCAATGAACGGTAGTTCCTGGCATTGGAATCGCCCTACATCAGAAAGGCCAACGCTTGGGTCAAGCCGATCAAATTTTTTCAGGCCAAGGTGGCCAACGTCTTGCTGCAAGATCATACCCATTTTCTTTTTGCGAGTGTCGAAGTGGAGCAGTCCAATGTTCAGAATGTCCCGCCTGGTCTGTTCATCTGCTACATCGACCAACACCTCGAGTTCGCTGCAGGCCTCGTCGTATGAAGTTTTGTCAACGCCCCAAGGCTGCGCACCTAGAGACACGTTCTCGAACGTGTATAAGCGATTCTTCTTGCAAGGGCAAAATAAACATGGCCTCCAAACCGAACTCCAGGTTGGCAGCCCCATCAGGTTACAAAACGCTTCCCAGTCGCCCTTAATCTGGCAGAGCGCAAATCTTGCAGAAAGCCGCGGCCGTGTGGCCAGAAGCTCTGCGCTGGTGGAATCGCCAGGGAACTCGGAGCCGTCCCACCTGGAATTGCTGAGCTGCGCCCAACGCCGCTGCCATCTCCAGCCCGCCCACCCGCCGCCCCCGACGCTGCACATCTTCCCCGCCACCACCGCCCCGTTTGAGTGGTTTTGGTGAGGGGAGGAAGTGAAGGCGGGGGCGAATGCGGCCAGGAGGCGGTCATGACCCAGGGCGTTGGGCGCAACCGCAGCCTGGTAGCAGGGCGATCGCCAGTCGCTGCCGAAGAGAAGCTCCAACGAAAAAAATTGTACACGGGCCAGAGCGTGCACCAGCCGCGACAGCCGCATTTGCAGAGCTCTCGCTTCGAGAGGACCGCGATCACATGCCGTTTTTTGTAACGAGGTTGTTGGCAGTGAAATTGATCAGTGAGTCTGCTCTGGGCCCGATGGCCCGCGTGAACTTCACGCCGTCCAGATACAGAGCTACTGGGAAGCACGGCAGAGAGTCTCCTAGCTTCAATCGTCTAGGGTGCTCCTCAAAACTTCGGAGCCAATCTGATGCTCCAGCCTGAGGTGGAGCAGGTGGTTCTGCCATCTGTTCGATCTCGGCGCTCAGCAGCTCGTGTGGGGGCGCCATCAGCACGTCCTTGAAACTCCGTTTGTTTTTTTCCCATATGGGCAATCTCACCGAAAGCAGCTCTGGGGACTCCGAACGTTCTGGTAGGACTTGCTTCAGATGATTCATATATTTTCCCGTCTGCCGCCCTGGCGGATAGGAATACTTGGAAAGGGAATCGTTCTCGACGCTTGCCTGGACGGCATAATGCGCCAGCAAGCAGAAATCTTTTGCCGATAGGACCGCCGTGGCATACAACAACAGCAGATGTTCCTCCAGCTTCTTAGCCGCCGCTAAGCGTGCATCATCATCGGGTCGGGCTTCCCAACTGCGCCGAATGACTGGGGATGACGAGTCAGAGCTAATCTGGCGACGCTTGCGTTTAGCAGGCATCGACCAAAACAAGAGCAACGAATTGGAGCCAAAATGGGCTCGGATGATTGTTAATGTTGTGCAGTGCTTCAGTTATGTTCACACCCTCTTTGCTTGCTCTTTGCTTTGCTTCCTCTTTGCTTTGCTTGCTCTTTGCTGAGCTTGCTCTTTGCTTTGCTTGCTCTTTGCTTTGCTTGCTCTTTGCTTTGCGTGCTTGCTCCCCTTCCTTTGTTTGCTCTTTCCTCGATTGCTCTTTGCTTGTTACATGCGCCACTCAAGTGTTGCACCGCATATATTGCACCACGAACTAGGCTGTCTACATGCGGTCTCACCAAGTACGCGCGTTGCGCCATGGGTTGCGCCACATATTGATAGCTCTCGCATTATAGTTTGATTCGCTACTACAGTTTTTGAGGGCACGTTGGCATGCATGGTTTGGCATGGGATGTGGTTGCTTCAGGGGCTCTCGTGGCTTCGATTATTTTTTTGTGTTTTTGACACTTTGATGTGCCTTCGGAACTGCGCAGCGATCGTCCTGAATCCAACATTCATCATCATGACAAGGCGCAGCGGGCCCTGTCTCGTGGCGCTGCCGTCAGAGCTCTCACAAATAGAACAGTGGCAGTCGATGCAAAGATCTTGACGCGCTGCAATGCTGTCTAGCAGTACTTCCGATCAGCATCCGAGTGGAGGAGGGGCCTTCGAGAAGGAAAACCGTGCGATACATATCCTGGCGGATGCTAGCGAAACAGTTCCAGACTGAAATCCAACCAAAATTGATGCCAAGAACGCGAACAGAAACCCTTCCTGGATTTACCTTGGATTTACCCGGCATTTACCCGGCATTTTACCGGCATTTACCCGGCCTTTGCCCGCCTCAGTTTTGTGAGGATGTATCAGGCGAAATCGCCATTTACCCGGCCTTTACCCGGCCTTTACCCGCGATTTACCCTCGATTTACCCGCCCTTTCCCCGCCCTCCCACCGCTCTTTTCCCGAGGGTGCCCTGCCAGATATTTTTTCTTCCGCCGACGCCCGCTACGCTTCCGCGCGCATCCGCCGCCCGTCGAAGGCCCCCTCCGAGCCCCAGGACGAGAAAAACAGCATTGCAGACTGTGCCATGCTGCGGTCTGGCGCCTCTCGGATAGCTTTGGATCGAAGCGTCAGAGTGACCTAGTCGTTTTTTTCCTGAGAAGTACCCCACTTCATTGTGTTTACTTCAGAGCAAGCTCGCACTCCCCTACAATGTCTCAGGCGCGCCTCGCTGCCGCAGCAAACCCTATGCCAGCCAGCGTGCACGAGTGACCTTGCGAGATCAAAATCCAACTAGCTCGAGCTGCCTCGTGCCTGTGCTGCTGTCATGCTATCGTGCTTGCTTTGCTCGTGTTGAATCGATCTCGCGGCAGCGCTGCGACTCCCATCGCAGCAAACAATCGTTGTTGATTTGAAACGTGCGAGAGCCCAGAAGCCAAGAAATCAGCAAGCTTAGATGCAGGCCTCCAGGGGAGGGATGCTGGGGGAGTTGAAAAGTAGAGGAGGATAGTTGGAAGAAGGGTGGAGGAGATATATACATGATATTGGATGGCTAGGAGGGGGCAGGGGCAAGTTGAACATAATGTAAACAAACGGAGGCACAGGATGAGAAGGAGGAAGACAATTGTGAGGAGGCTCAAGCAATCACCCGTCTTTACTGAGACGGCTGCTCCTCCTCGGCGATGCTGCGGATCTTCTTCGCGATGGCGAACACGTTATCGAGGGAGTCGTTGATCTCATCGAGCTCCGCCGACACGGCGTGAATGTCGATGTTGTCGTAGTCCAGGTCTCCGCCGAGCTTGAAGACGTAGTGCAGTTGGCCCGACTGCGGCAAGTGCCCCTCAACGCGCTCGATGGCGCGCTTGAGCTTCCCGCCAAATCGGTCACTGCGCGCCCAAGTCCACTCATGGGGCTCGGAAGGGTTCGCGAGGTTGCCGTCGATCAGGTCGACCAGGTTGTTCGCCCTGCCAGTGACCTGGCTGTACTTGTTGCTGACTTCCTTGACCTTCCTGGCCAGCTGCGTCGGGTTGTGAACCTTGCGCATGCCGCCACGCTGGGCGCCCCTGCCCTTCTGCTTCTCCTTGGAGCCCTTGCCCTTGCCCTTGCACATGGTGGAGCCCTTGCCCTTCTGCTTCGTGGGCGGCGATGCCGCTGCGGCCGCCTTCGGCGCTGGCACCTTCAACGGAGTCTCGTTCGCGCCGCCCTCGATGTCTGTCAGCTGC